CTTATCTCCCCCTCCCTTCTTTTTTCTATCTTTTTTTTCTTTGTTTTGCAATCAACTACGCGAGAGTAGCGAGCTTGCAGCGCGACGGTAGGCGTGAGATTACGTTTCGTGATTCACCGCTTTTCTCACAACTTCCAAAGTTAAAAACTACTCTCAAGCTACCGAGAAGAAACCAGTCTAAGGTTACGCTACAATCATCGAAGAAAGTCAAAGATATATGATATATCTGACGTCTATGTATCACGTGTCTACGACATGCAGCCACTACCACAAATTTCCACATAGTTGACAATAGAGCTCTTTCGATTTTACTTTTTTAACGAGACCTTCAGCTCTTTGTAACTCTTTACCGTATAGTGTTTATAATACTCGGGAAACTTGTGGCGCGGTTTAAAGCAACGCATGCACTATTTGTTAAAAGTGAGCTAGCAAGTTCCTAAGAGGACAAAAGTATCGTCAAAAGTATACACGCCCAGCTTACAATTAGATACAGCATTCGTGTACACCCGCCGTGAAGCCCGTCGTGCACGCGCGCGCGCAATCGGTTACAAGTTACACTTCATTATTGTTTTGTAAGAATTCAATTTGGATGGAGAGACTCGACCAATGTGAGCTGTGTTAACATCATACAATCGAACAAAAAAGACCAAAATCAATTTGTTGTCATTAACGACAATTAATACAGAGTCTACAATAGAAGTCGTAGCTCTCGTAGTTTTAAGTCGTAGAAAATTGACCAATCGTGTAATTATTCTTATTATATTTGACTGCGATTGGTTAATTTTCTACGACTTAAGACCACTACGATTTCTATTGTAAATCCCTCCCACATAAGACTGTTTCCAAAATCTACTGCCAGTACTGACAATCTACGGTATATGTATAAAGTAAACTATAGATGTTCAGTACTGGCAGTACGTTTTGGAACATGATACAAATTTCATGTACGACGAAAAGTTTGCCGATTGATAATTTAAGATACATTTTTCAGAATTCAATCGATTCTATCCAGCAAACATTGCAACCAAAGTCAATTCAACGTAATAATGCCGACGAATGTTTTGTTGTAAAAAAAAAAACAATATCGTGATTACACGGAGAGCGATAATGCGCGCGCGTGCATATCGGGCGTAGAATAATGAAGAAAAAAAAGGAAAAGAGTAAAAGAATAAAGCAGTCAGCCAGTATCACGAAATTCCAGTATACGAAATATTAATACACCCATATCAATATCTTACGGCCATATTGATTTGGATATATAGCGACCCGCGCCTCCGATTTCCAAAAGCGCCCGGCTGATCAGCGCTGAACGCATCACGTGACGTCCATGGCCACGAGAGTGGAAATGGATTTGAATCCCGCGCGCTCCTCCTCGTTAAATTCTCAGAGCGTGCAAAATGGCACATTGTCCGCCCTTCATCACGTTTCTTGGAATGGAAAACTGAAAAAACAGTCGCGATTGTATCGATCGTTCCGGCTCCGATCACGCAGAATCCTGACTGAATTGAGAAATACGCGAATCTTCCGAGGAGACATTAAAATGTAAACATGGCCGCGCTGGAAGTCACGTAATCTGCGATTTTGGGCATTTTCTGTTCTAAATCGGAAGACGCCTGGTGCGTTCTATATTTTTATGTACGTTGAGGCTGATGGAGAGCAGGCGATTGCTTCTGAAGACATTCTAGAAGAAAGGTAAAACCATCAGATTTGGCAGCAAGAATTTTCAAGGATGTGTGAAAACATTAGATTCAAATCTTTTCACCTTTCGATAGAATATCATAGCTATTTGCACGACAAAATACTGTACGTTATTTAAAAAAATGCTATTTGATGCGAAAAGAAATGGAATAGCTTCTCCAGAGAGTGCACGAGAAACGACAATAGATGGAGCAATCGATGCACTGTCTTTACATTAGCCTCAACGTAACAGGTATACGTACTTATATATAATATATATATATATATATTTATGTGTGTGTATACGTAATATATGTTGGTATATAAACACGTAGTGAGTTAAGGTAATATATAGAGTAAGGTGAGGTTAGATACGTGGCTTAGGCTGCGCCGATCTCCGGAGCTCCACCTACTGACTGGGATCAAATCGTCTTTGTAATGGTCCGCTGCAAACATATTGACAGCCAAACTGTAGGCACTATCCCTCCGCTCAGCTGCTACATCGCCATAGGTATAAACGGTAGCAGACTCGCAGCAGTATATAATGTGTTATCTTCACATTATCAATAATCATCATTATGGTAAGGAGCGCATGTCAGCTCTCCACTTACAGGCTAAACTTTTACATATGTATTCTTACGATACTGCGCTTTATATTGGAGCGCAGCACCTACTTTGGGGACCAGACTCGGTAACGAAATATGTTGCATCGTCGAGGTATGTACCGTTCTTATGGTGCTAACAGTGAGAAAGTAATCTTTGCCGAAGCTATTCCAGGGGTGTTTCAGATTGCGTTCCATCGTGCGAGAAAAATAAAAGCGTATATCCGGAACGTCTGGAACGGCTTGAGCAAACGAAAACAGACGCTCAAGTGAACACCTCGACTCCAGTGTCTGTTTGATTGTTATCGGCAACGGAACTATTTGGTAAATTCTGACTCTTAAGCTCTAGGGGCCCTTTAAATCATATACACCTCATACACGGCGTTTGCGCATTCTCACTTTTTGTAACAAGCTCCTACATCTGTAAGAACATCACTGATAGTGAGTAATACAAAAGTAACTTCCGGAGCTTCGTAATTAATCTGAACCGCAGAACAACAGAATGAATTTGTATCCTTGGAATCTTTGTTGAATTGAACAATTCCATTGAAAATTCGTACTTTGATTCTCTGTGGCTGCGTTTATTTTTCACGCTTACGCGTGATAAGCTTCATTATATCTTTTTTCTGCAAGTACCGAGCAATAATGATAGGATAAAGTTTATGTAGCGCATAAACATGAGAAACGAACGCAACCTATGAGTGTGTTATTTGCAAAAAAGTACACAATGTAATTTGTACACTTTTGGCTGATTACATTATTAATATAATCTAATGTACTAATATATACATATATATATAATATGTATTGTATATTTATTAAATCAGAGATTAAATATACTATATTAACTAAATAAGAAAGAAAAGTTAAGACCTATCAGTTTGATAATTTATGGTTCTCAGATTTTATAATACATCTCATTTTAACATACAGTATTTTATATTATCAGAAGTTAAAAAACATCTTACGAAAAATAATGATAATTCAAGAAATGCAAAAAGCTCAAGAATTTAGGAATAAAAAGTGTGAAAGTTATTAAAAGAAATGTTTCAAAACTTGAGACTTACAAATAACTAGGATTCCAAGAATTTTATTGTGGAAAGGAATCAGTTATCTATGAAGAAAGCAAATTCAGATATATATATATATATAGATTTATAAAAGAGGATGGATAAAATTACTTGATTTTGATCTAAACAATCAACCCCTTTTTTATACATGTATTCTTGTACTTTTTAACGTGTTGAATTATTTGCGAATATTTATTTCAAACTGATCTAACATGTTGGAAATCGCACTGAAAGTAGCACAATTTTGTCAATATCTGATCTTTGCAATTTTCAATACTTTGCTATTATTGAAATACTTTGCTAGTTTATTTTAAAATTAATATTTGAAAATGATTCAGTATAACAAAGAAAATTAAAAAAACACAAATGAATGATTCTGTTGCTTTGGTCAATATTGACCTATTATATTGATTGACCCAGGATGTAGAAAATTGTAATTATAAAAACTAAATTGGCAGATCTGAAGACAGAAAATGTGCTTATTATTAATGCAAATAATTCAATAAATGAAAACAAAAAAATAAAAAGCATGCACAAAAGAAAGATTCCATTGCCTTGATCAATATCTACTTATTATTGTACATTAAAAATAGCAATTAAAGACCAGATTATGATAAAATTGTGCTACTTTAATGCAAGTAATTCAGTGCATTAAAAAAGAAGAGAAAAAAATAAAAGCACGCACAAGAGAAAGATTCTATTACTTTGATCAATATTAACCTATTAAATTGCTTACCCAGAATATTGAGAATTGCTAATTAAAGACCATACATTCTGACGAAATTGTTCTACTTTCAATATGATTTTCAACGTGTTCCCATTTTGAAACAAACATTTGGAAATGATTCAACACATTAAAATATGCAAGAAAATATACATACAAAAAGTTTTATCATTTAGACCAAAATCTGGCATTTTTATCCTCCTTCGCGAATCAAAGTAAATCGAGAAAAATGTATGTACAAAATCGAAGAATTTCATAAATGCGAGAGGGATCAATAACGCAGATTTCAGAAACTCGAAAACACAAGGCATAGAATTTGCAGATTTCAAGTACTGGCTTGAAAAGAAAAGATAACGACAAAAATCGAAAGATTTACGAAAAAAATACAAACAACCCGAGGAGAACTCGCGAAAACAATTACAACAAATTTCTCTGTTTCATTCATTTTTAATTCTATCTCCATCTCCCTCTCTTTCGTATAAGAAAGAGAATGAACAACTCTCCGGAGGCCATTTTGTATTCTCAGTGCGATGCGCGGTATTGATTTGTCCTGTCAACCCGGGGCAGGTATTCGAGCGGTCCTCGCCGGCGCCCAACGCACGAAGGGCAAGCGACGCCATGCCTCGTTAAAGGTGCCGTTCGCACCAGGAGTCGCATCGACGGCGACGACGTCGCCAGAGGCAACGACTAGTCGTCGGAGTCGAGTGACAAGTGGTGAGGTACGGCTTATCTCAACGAGCATATACGTGTATATGTATATGTATACGCGCGTGCGTGTGTGTTGTATGCGTCGTGTACTTGTGTATGAACGCGCGTCTGTCGTACGCCCGTGTGGGTGTGCGTGTATATATATATATATTTCTCTCTTTCTCTCAGTGTACATTACACGCAACTAAGTGATAATGCGCGATTACGACATATAGTTACCTTTCTTGTCGGTCATTATTGCTTAAAGTTTCACAATTTTTACTAAAAAAAAGAAGTACGTTATTCCTAATTAAATCACCGGATTTCGAGTCTCGCAACACTGTCGACCGACGGGAACGGCTGTGACACTTGACAGACACTAGCGCCGTTTATTGAGCGTTCCTGTGGCGGTGCGACAACGGTGCTCTGCACCGCTTGCGCCGTATGTCTATTGGCCCGCTAATTCGGCCAATAGGAGAGCACTTAATGGCGGTTGGCTAGGTCTGTTCGTGCTGTCTCCAAAGATTTCTTTTATTTTAAATCGTTTATACTTCGGGTTTTAACCCTAAAATTCTAAAATCAGTTAATAAAGCTGCTAATCTTAACCGAAATCTCTCTATATTCCATTAGCTGAATTTTCGAATTTTAAGGTCAATATAAACCAGGTAATAGATATACGTTTACGCGTTGAAAAGAGAGAAAGCGAAGATGCTGAGTACGAAAAGTGCAAGCAACGCGAACAAAACTAAAAAAGGATAAAAATAAAAGAAGCTAAAAAAACAAAATCAAAATAAAAGGAGCTTAAATTCCTCTATTCTCATTGGTCAAATTTCAATTTTCAATCTTCAATCTCAATTTCCAATGCGTAGTCTGATTTCGGCTTAAGGTCTGTTTTTTGTTTCTACACTGTCTTAACTTTTTGTAATCGAATATGAGAAGAATAATCGTTTACAAATTGGTCAATTTTTACGGCTTACGGTCATTGTAGAATAGACTTAAGGGCGGGTTCACACTTTGACGGAAAAGCGGAAGAGCATTAGCCAATCAGTACTCGCGCTGGTAGTCGAATTTCTGTTAGTTCTATACTACTTGCTACCGACGCGAGTTCTGATTGGCTACTGCTTTTCCGCAATCCGCTTTTTCCGTCAAGGTGTGAATCCGACCTAATGGTTTCTGCACACTGGACGCGGAAACGCTTAAGCTGATTTTTCATATGCAGCATGCTGCGGCAGCAAAATGTTATTATTGGTCAAAAATCTTTTGTGAGGTGACGCACTGTGACGCACTTCCAATCAGTTCACGAAAATTTGTATCACATGACATTTTGCTGCTGCAGTGTGCTGCACATGAAAAATCAGCTTTACGTGCAATAAAATGTAACGCGCTAGCCAATAGCTTACGGATCCTAACATGTTCATTGGTTAAGCCCATGGCACATACAAAAACGTAAGGCCGTAAAACGTAATCAGTAAGCGAATTGGCCAATCACAGTAGAGACCGTAAGGCCGGTAGCGAATCCAATGTTACGATTTCCTTACTGATTACGTCTTATGGCTCCCGCAGATAGAACGCGGAAACGCTTGCTGCGCGGCGGAAGTTGGCACGATAACCAATCAATATCTTGCCGGCGAGACGCTGATTAGCTATCGCGGCAACTTCCGCCGCGCGGCAAGCGTTGCCGAGTTCTGTCTGCGGCAGCCATTACGGCCTTACGTTTTTCTATGTGTTTCTGGCTTTATCGCCTCGCATTGGTTGCGTTCAGCAGAGAAAGCAGCTTTGCAACTGTTGTAAAATTCTTTAATATGATTGGTCTTGCTCTTACTTCCTTATTACATTTAAATGTATAAGCCAATCATATTCAAGAATTTTACAACAGTTGCAAAGCTGCTTTTTCTGCTGAACGCACCCATTTGTCGCGCGGCAATGCAATCGTTCCGCGTCCAGTGTGCAGGAGCCATATAGAGCGACGATTATTTCTGTCAGATTTTTTCGTTTTTCTTTTCGCGCAAAAACGCGTCAAATAAGCCTAATTTTATTGATTTTTAAGCTGCGAGACCTATTCTGTATAATTACCGCGCATAATATGCGATCGATCAATCGATGAATTAAAAAATCATCCACAAACTGGTGTGCACTTTTATGCCTTTTTAATCGCAATACATTACACGTTTTGAGCGAACGAATAAATCTCGATACTGAATTTTCTCATAAATTCTCATGCTATCGGTATAATACGGTAATATTTTTTGTTATCTTATTCGATTTTATTTTTCGAGTATTTTCGAACTCTACTCGCGTCCACTCGCCTTAAGCCGTAATCACACTAGCGATTGCGCGATTGTGATTGACGTTTAAGGATTATGTCTCAACCAATCAGAGCAAAGCAGTTACCGATTGCTTTGTTCCGATTGGTTGAGAAATAATCGTCGATCACAATCGCTGATGTGATTACGGCTTTACAATATTTTACAGCGGTGACAGTTTTCTTAACCTCAAAAGTTATTTACTGTACGATTAATATTTTGAGCTACATTTCAAAACGTCTTCCGAGAAAGATTTTACTCTCTATATATCAAGTTACGTGTACTATATATTTTGAATAAAATTTTCCTCGAAGAGGTTTTGGAACATATCCGTGATTTACGGGGCGAAGTGATGCTTTTCTCAGCCAGATACGTTTCGAACAAAATCACATCAAATGAACTTAATTTCATCGATTTTTGTGCTAAACGTGGTTAAACAAATATCGAGCAACACTTTTTTCTTGTTAAATCATTGTTTCTACATAAAAACATATCAGTTGAGTGTATTTTTATGATAGTTTAAGGTGAGCGAAGTATTCTCAATATTTACCCAGAGAGAGAGAGAGCACGTACAATTATGCAGTTTCACGATTCGCAACGTAAGTATAAGTGTCAAGTTAAATTGCAAAGTATTAAATAAATTATATGATGTACGATAATTATACGATTATTATAACTATTTTATTCGTCATACTTTAAAGTATCAGACATTAGCTTGTTCGGGAGAGATTCATTTTTTTAGCTTAAAATTGTACATACATCTTATGCATCTCTTTCGTGATAAAATAAACAAATGTTATTAATATACTAAACTTCAAAAATATTATATCTAACGGGAGATGCTACTGCGTCTTTTGATCATGTAATTTTTTTTCAAAAATGTAAAGGTCATTTTCATATCTTTTCGATATCTCGACCTAGAAAAGAACAATGTGACCAAAATAAAACGAACGTCTTTTCTCGGAACCGTTTCACTTTCATTTGAAATATTTTTTTGCATAATATAAAAAATAAATATTCAAGATTTTAATTTAAGCGTATGTATTAAGTAAATATATCGTTCTGTATATTTATATGTACAATTTATGTAAAGCAATAGGAAACTCTTTTTATAAATTCAAGACTTTTTGTAAGTTGTGTAACAATTATGTTACTTACACATTATTATTACAATTATACACTGTTAATATAATATTTGTCTTTTAACAGAGAAGTGCTTAATGGAGGCTTTTCGCACAGATTGCCAGTCGTTAATAACACGCTTTGAATTGTCTTATAATACTCACTTTCAAAATTTCTGTGAGATCTGGAAAGAAATGCAGTTTGGTTTGATTTTTGCGTACGTATTTTGTTTTTGTGTTTAAAAAGTATTTTACTTCAAAATATTAAGAAGTTTTTTTTTAAAAGCTTTTCTGTGAAGAGTATGTCAGAAAATCAGTTTACGAAGCTTTCAATTTTGTTAAAGTTTTTAAATAAGAGTTTTTGAATTTACAGTTATCATCCTTCGGAAGCAGCTTTAATGACATTTTGTGAAGATGCCCTTTGCATAATAAAGCAGTTTCTTGTAAATGCATCCAGTTTAAAGGAACGTATAGGGGCTCTTTATCTCACATATGGAGTTTACTATAAAATGCCAGTAAAACAACTAAAGATCAGAATGACTCTATCAGATTGGAGTTGCTTAATGGAATTGCACAGTCAAATAAAACAAGAGGAATATCTTGATGCTAATTATATCTTATGCAAAATGATTGTTGATCATGTATTTATTCATTGCATTAGTGACAGAGAGGTATATTTTATTGATCTGAATTAAAAATACTTTTTCTAAATCATAAATACTATAGATATAACTATACATGTGTGTGCGTGCATACATGTGTTATATATTGTGTATAAGTGTTAATAACACTGGTCGGTATGCTAAAAATTTTCTGAAGAAGGAGAGTTTTCCATAGATTTTTGAATGCTGAAAACGATGCAGTTTCTAGATTTTATTTATTACGTTATAATTTCGGGAAGAAAAAATTTTATGTGACAAGTTTTGTCATTAATAGCTGTCAAATTATTTCTAAAAGACTAATTGTAAGTTATAATAGAGTAATATGAAACTAATGTAAATTAATATCAAATAATTATTTATATAACAATATTAATTTCATTATTCTATTATAACTTACGCTCTCTTAAAAGTAATTTGGCAACCATTAACGGCAAATTTACTGAAAAGTACAATCTCTTTTATACTGTTAAGCTTTCCGACTTCCACTCTAATATGCAGCGATTTAAATCTCTATTTTTTTTCTATAAAAAAATGATGTGATAGGCAAATTCTGAGGACAGTATCGTTTTCAGTATCCACAAATCTATGGAAAACCATTCTCCTTCTGCAGGAAACTTTTTAATATGTCGATGGGTGTAAGTAATAAAATAGCGACTCATAATATTTTGTAAGAAAAAATTTATTTATATTTACTAAAACACATGTTTTCATCAATGTAAAATCATTTTTTTTGCGTACAGTATGGTATCGAGAGACATTTCTATCAAAAGCAAGAACAGCCCAAGTTGGACGTTAATTTGATGCCAGAAATTAAAGAACTAGCGGCACCAGAGAAGCTGCTATCGACTATTAGCAAATTAAGCAAAGTATATGAGGAAAAGAAGCGTGCTTTGTTTGATGCGGATGGAGAATCTAGCCTGCAACTTTACGATGCTAGTATAGCAGATAATATTGTTGATAACATTCGTACAATGCAGTCGGAAAGTAGAATATTTGTCAAATCAGCCGATATGATAAACACTAGCTGTAGTAAGCCAACAACAGCAACAGCGACCGAAACTGTTCAAAAATGTCAAAAACGGTAAGTAAAATTATTCACTGCGTTTATTTTGGTGACGTCAGAAGCGAGGAAGATACATAATTTTTGCTTTTTAATAAAACAACATTTGCAATTGATAGAATATATTTATAAAATATACTAAAAACTTCCCTCGTATTTTAATAATCTATAGATATATATATAATCATATATTTGAATTACATCTAACCGAAAAACGAAATAAACTATATGACAGCTCTCAGAGATAAATGTTTTATTCTGTTCTGTAATAAAAGAAGAATATATTTAACAAATATATTTTATCAAATGCAAATATTATGTTATTAAAAAATATTTCTATTTTAATATATTTTACAAGAATTTTCTGTATGGTTTTTCTTGCTTCTGACGTCATCAGTTTAAAGATCTTTAGTGAATGGTCAATAGCTTTAATCCTTAATTTATACAATAAAATATTATAAAAAAATTATAAAAGGTTACAAAAATAATGATCCTATAAAAGATACATCAAAGATATAAAATAAATATGAAAAAAAGTTACAAAGTTCAACTTTTTATACAAATTTTGAAAAATATGAAAAGAGAAAGTTTTTGATTTACGACTTTTAAAGTTAATTGAAATTGCATCCCTTTTATCAGGAATTATGTATAATATAATGAAATACGATTTTTATAATGTGAAAATTATTCTTTCTATGCCATAATTTTATCTATTATTAATTTGCTGCTGATTTTTAAAATTTTTTTTTGAATTGTTAAAAGAAGTAATTGCTTTACTTAGCGGTCCAAAAATGTAACTGTGACTGCATTCCGTTATTCGTTGCAAAAATTGAAGAAAATCTATAGTATACATAAAGTGTCAGTACTTGCAATGAATAACGAAACGCAGCCTTATATAAGTGAACGTTTTTTGTGATTTTATTTTAAAAATTCGTAAATTTTTTATCATAGATCTAAAGATGGACCTGTTCACATTGATTTTAAATTAAACAAAAATGTATTAAAAGTTAACATATTGATTATAATGATAATTTTCCTGTAGGATAAGAATTCGCAAAAATCAGGTCTTATCCAAGATAGGCCGAGCGTTCGAAAAAGGATTACAATCCGAAGAAGAATCGGAAGCGGATGAAGATATATGAAGAATAAATAGCGTTGCTTTATAAAATTTGCAAAAAATCATAACTCAAGAAATTGATTCAAATATCAATTTAAGTGTAAATAAGGTGAAAAAGATTTAGAAGTTATAGATTTCTATTTATAATCCATGATTCAACTGAGTAAAATTTAGAATATATAATCACAAAGGGTAAAATTCTTAGAAACACTGTGATCTAATAAGCTTAATAAAACTTTGCGATAACTTCATGATATTTTTCTTCCCAAGATGTATGACAGATAGTTAAAGAAAATAACCAAAAGATTATAATATGAATGTTAGTATGAATATTAATGTGTATATACTAGAAAATAAGTATTTATTTTTTTATACATTCTTCAGGCATAATTTTTTATTATATAGACATACGTCACGACGATTATAATAATTAAAAATCAATTTTGCATAATAAAATGCTCGATTAAATTATTTATTGAACATTTTGTTGGGTCAAATTAGTCTCGTGCGGATAAATAAGACAATTCAATTAAATTACTAAACTCTAGTAAAATGAGATTTGAGTAAATCTCTAAACGTAGAAGCGCGGACATAAATAGAGTGTTTAATGTTGTGATCTAGTGTACTCTCGTTTAAGACCTCGACGAAAGTGATTCATACGCTTTCGTTGAACATTTGAAACTAAATAATCACACTACATCTGGTCATGCTCGGACCATTTAACAATCTAAGATGACCATATTCATTGATGCTTGTTCATAAATGAATAAGTCCTAAACGAGAAAACATGTTGCAGAGCTTTTGTTCTAATAAACCTTCAACTGGTTGTTGTCATCAAAGCCGGCGCTGTGACCTGCATTTCTCACGATAAAGCTAGTACCATCGTAATGCATGCGACGTTCACCGCGACGTACAAACAGATGAGACGTTTGTCCTAAGGACGCAGTACAGTGCAGGAAGGGTGTCGTCAAAGAAGCCGTACCATTGCTAGGGGATGTACGTAGTTGATACTTATTGCTATTTCGAGCAATCCTATTGTACAGTGGAAAAAAGATTAAAGATATATTAAAAATCTAAGAATATATTAATATATTAAGTAACAAATTATAAATTATTGTAGCTTTTTATGTGTGTGTGTATATATAATATATATAACGGAGTCTTATACAGTCTGCGACCGTTTTCTCGGTCCTAATACGTTTATTAGATATTTTTGGTATTATAAATTTTTTTATAAGTGCCAGGAAACCCCAACCTGATGCTTTAACCCCCAATCTGGAGGACCAGGAATTATTAGATATAATCCATTATATAGAGAACCTACAATTTAACGCCGAATCCGAACGGATTAAACCCGAATCTACAGAACGCGAGTCAATCGCATCGAGCGGTGAGTCCGGTGAGTCACTCGATTTTTTATCGATTTTATGTATATAATGCATTTATTATAGAAAAACAATAATTCTTTAAAAATAATGCAAAGAAAAAGGGCTACGAGCCAAAAATTCGTTAAAATATAAAATAGTAAATAAAGATTGTCATTTAGTTAAAATTATATATTGTAGTTTAATTAGAAAACAGACGTTTCGACCTCTATTAAGTCATTATCAATGTTACAAAAATAATAATCGCAAGTTGTTCAAACATAACGGTAATGTACAGAATAATAAAATTAAAAAAACATAAAAATTAATATATATAAAATAAGTGTAAGTTCTCACTAGCGTGGTTGACAATAATTTCAATGCCGCAAGACCAGAGTCCATAAAACAATAAATCGTCTAGTTATAATGCGTAATTAATTTGTTACCTCACGAGACCATCGGGAGTCTGGGATACTCGGACATTGTTAATAATCCAATTTTCAACACCTTCATCAGTTTGCCAGTATTGAGATGCATTGAGATGTGCCATAACTTCCTGCAAACATGCTGGTCCATGCCGAGAGCCCGAATAGAAGACACTCAATGAAAAATCCTACGAATTATTAGTAAAGAATTATAGAAAATTTACTATATTCGTCATGAAACTTTATTTTATAATTTCTAGTCAGAGATGGGATATATTTAAAATATTTTTATTTAAAAAATACAGTTTTTGCAATAAAAGTGTATTTTATATTTGTATTTTAGCGCTGCACAAGTATTATGTATTTACAAATACCATTTTTCAAATAAAAATATTTCAAAGCCCTGTTTCTATTTGTATAGTTATTTGTGACAATAATTTAAAACATTTATCTCAACCTTTTTACATCACCACTTTTTAATCAATATCAGACAATGAATTAATATAATATTTGTAAAAAGAAAGATTCTAATGTCACACAATTTTAGCTTTACATGCTTTATAGAGGGGATAATGATTTTTTTAAATAATAATTGAAAATAATTTCTTAAATATTCATGTAAGAAACAAATTTGAATGCCAGGAATAATTTTTGAATTAAAAAAATTAAATAAATAAATAAAATAGAAAAAAAAATTTTTAAAGAACGGACTTAGGCTACAGATCTAAAAGTCAAATTAATTAAGCGCGATTTAAATTGGAAATAAAATAATATTTTGAGCTGGTTAGTATCCACGAAACATAAAATAAATCTCCGCTTTATCTAGCTCGTCCTACCTGGCTCATATCCGAGAAAGAATCGGTTGTGGTTCTGGTACCAGCAGTGTCCACCAGGTAAACAAGCGCGCATTGTTCCGATGTGAAACTGACTCCCTTGTACCACATCTTTGCGTATCTATTAAAACAAGCCACTCAGTATTAATTAGTAATCACTTAACGATAACACTTGGACTAACTTATTATTGCCGTGCGTGTCATGGGCGACGATCTCCACTCGAGAACCATACTGATATATTCTGCCATTAGGGTGCAGCAACGCGGCAGCTGCTCCAGAGCTGCTTAAGGATAGGACGATATTGTTCTACAAAAATGAAAAACAGGATGTAGCTCTGAATTTCCAAACTTGTCATTTATAGATCCACTTCACAAATCTCAAAATTTTACATAATATTTTTATATTATTAAAAAAAAACTTTTTTTAATATTAATTCCTTTTTAATTAAACTTATTACTGTTTTTATTAATATTTTTTATATAACTTTATGTAAATATTGTATTAAAATTGTATTAAAATTGTGTATCTAATTTTTTATACATTTATCAGAAACGAGATGTAAATTTGGATTTGTAATTTTTTTATATCTCTATTTTATAAATCTCAAAATTGCACACTGTAACTCTGATTAAGAGAAAAATCTTCAACACTAATTCTTTCTCAGTTAAAATTTATTATTCTTTTTTATTATGGTATATAATTTTGTTTATATATAACTTTGTTTAGATATTTTGTTAAATATTTTTTATGTATCTCTGTTTAAATAATATTAAATATTAAATCTATAAATAATGTAAATATTATTTTATAATATTATATATTATTATATAAATAATAATATTATAAAAATAAGAAAACATATTCAATAGATGATTACCTTGAAATTGATGACTCTGACGGCGCGGTCAATGGTCATGTCCACGCGAATCCTGTTGTGTAACCTCAACGATATAGTACCATGAGGAGTAGCGACTACACCTCCGACGCCTCCGACATCAGCGTCATGTTCTCTCCAGTTCTCCGTATAAATGGAGGCTTCTTCAGCCGCATAATAAGGTCCACCGATTGATTTTCTAGCTTGCCGCCAAATCGTTGCCGATCCAGAGTATGCGGTTGCTCCACCTAAACCGTTCCACTGTTCGGCCGGGGGTTCGAAGTACTTGGACAAGTCACTATACCGCTAAAGATCATCCGGAAGGAGCTTTATTAAACAAGTCACAATAAGACATTTCTATATGTTATATCTTAAAAGTTTATAATAGTCCGAACTATTGTGATTCCAATACTCCAAAAGTTTTTTCTTTACTGCAAAGAGCAGTTTTCTTTTGTTCTTTCTTTACTTATCTCAGCACATGCAACAGTTATAATAGAATTTTTATTGGTATGTATCAAATGCGATGTGAGCGCGATTATAGAATATATATGCGACAGATTTTTATAAGAATCTTAGTTTCTTTTTTTACGGCGTATATAATTTTTAATTTTTTTTATCAGCCTTATATCAGTTTTATTTTTCGACTAATTTTTAATTTTTTTTTTTTAAATTTTCTAAAGTAAAAGTGAATTTCTCAGCTAATATACTGAAAAATCGTTCAGACTTCTCTGAAAATTTATAGAAATTTTATTGAAAAGCATTTCAAAAATAATTATACAGCAAAATTTTTCCACCAGGAAGACGTTTAAAAGTTAAAGGTATAACAGATTAGAGCTGAAGGATAAAGTTCAAGGTTGGATGATGTACTTGAAAATTGGGATCCTCTGGCTGAGAATGATAATTATGCGAGGTATAAAGAGACCGAGGTCGCATAGCTGTGGTTGAGCTCGTCTGGTTCTGTATTGTTGTTACGGAGTAAGACGGCGTTGTTTGTATGACCGGCATGACGAAAGACTTATGTATCTCTTTACGGAATTCGGTACAGGTATTTGCCATTTCCTTCGCCTCAAAAGATATATAAATCGATATTTTTTTATTCATTTCCTTGTATAAAAATGACGCAACGACCATTTTCAAAGAAAAGATCTCGGAAAGATTTTAAGAGTGGAAAAAAATTAAATTTTAGAATTCTTAAAGTCTTGAATTTATCCGTTCACAAAATATTTAAATCTAATAATAATTGTCTAATAAATCCGAGCTCCTTCCTTTGCTCCAGTTTAAAAAAAATTTTATAGACATTTTAATCGATACGTTTTTTGAGCTAGATTACAACAAATTGCAAATAAAAGTATAAATGGCGAGAAATGCAGAAGGAGGAACCTCGCGTCATATATGAGAAACGCACTTTGGAGTCGCCAGCGGCGGCGACGGCGGCGGCAACGTTCTTCGATTTCTTGCGCCGGGATTTCCGGTACTTGGTGACCGCTGCCTGGTCGGTTTCGCTTGTGTGATCCACGATTGAAGCGATTTCGGATTCCGTGGGATCAATAGTTAGACCGTGTCTCAGCGCTGTGGGCTATTCGCTCGCGTCAACTCCACTTCAAGCGGAAATTCGCAGAGGCGAAATGACGCTGCGCTGACAAACGAGCATCTGTCGCCCTGGCAATTCGTCGGAAGACAACAGATGATATATTCACGATAGATTCGGAAGTTGTGGCCAATGTAGATCTGCTTGCGTGATAATAATCAATGTAAAGAAAAAGATGACCAATCAAAGTGTAATTTTAAGAATTGTATGTGTTTCGAGATTCAAGTCTTATGTTTATATAAAATTTCATGATCGAATCTATACAGATTTGGATGTTGAAAGAATGGATTTCTGTTTAAATAATTATAAATTAAAAGACCCTCGATATATAACAAAATATATTAAAGAGAAAAAAGGCTAATGAAAGTCACATCTCAAATACAAAAAATCACATATATTAATGTCATAAAGATTCATACATGAAAATATACTACATATAATACATATATGTAGCAATTTGCATATTTTTATATATAAATCTTTGTGCGTTATTTTTTATTTTAAAATGTCCTAGCGTTTTTTTGTATTTTTATTAATACATTTGTTATTTTCAAGGACATTAATATATGTGATTTTTTGTATTTGAGATGTGACTCTCATTAGCCTTTTTTTCTCCTTAATATATTTCTGTTTAACTTCTCGTGGCTTAATTGGTTTTTTATTTGCTGGTTAACTTGTGTCGTTATTAAACCTATAACTTAATTCTCAGCCTCTATATTCAATCGATTACAGCACTTATTCCAGTTTGAACCTTCTTCTCGCCATACAATCGTTTTAAAGCCTCATCCTTAAATTTTAAAATAAAATATAATAGATGTCTTTACTGTGAATCTAACTTCAAAAAATAGCAATGAAAACTATGTCGTTCGAAAAGCAGGCACTGCTCCTCCTTTTCACGTTCCAAGAATAGAAGAAAAAAGTACAATTTACTAAATTGGGATTTTTCCACATTTCTGAATTTTTCTTTTTCTTTGTACCTATATTTCGAAGCTTCTTAATTTTATCGACTTTTACACATTATTTATATACAGACTTGTTTTTAATTTTCCATCGGTTGGAAAAAAAATTAATTTAAATACGTTCATTTTTACGAAAGTTATTGTAACAAATACGAATTGGATCCCAGGGACCCGAGTGTGTGTATAGCTAGAATTAACCATGAGTGTAAAACTGAATTTTAATTTGATGTTTTATTCAACGGGCTTCATCTATGATGTCATAAAATGAAGTCCATTGAAACATAGAGTTAAGTTTAACCACACGAATGAGAAACCGGACCTAAGAGTGTTTAGAATATTTGAATATTGATCGAATGCTAACCCAAGGTAAAAAAAATTTGTGTGTGTGTGTAATCAAACATATTTGATTATATATATATAGTTATAGACATCGAGGTTGCTACATTTTTTTTCGATGGTTCTCAGAATATGCGAAAATTTTCAGAGTCCACTAACTAAGTGATTATAACAATTGTCAAAATGATAAGAAAATGAAGTTATACAGGTGAAACCAAGAAATATACCTCGTATGACGTAAAAAACACTTAAAATATCAATTGAATGTAAATTTATAATAAATATAAAAATATATAATATAAGCCAAATGGACAATTTGAATAAAAATTTCTTAATATCTTCAATGCAATTAAAAAATAAATATAAGATTATATAATATTAATTAACGTGTAATATAATATATATATATATATATACACATGTATATAAATATATATGTTATACAATATACATATATTATACAATATCATACCTAATTTATAGTTTTGTTTCTGAATAATTAATTTTAATCGAAAGTTTGTCGCTGCTAAAACTCCGGATAAAGCTAATGGTAGAGCCTGCAGAAATTGATAGCGACATGTATGATGACGTTCAGGCGTCACGCGATCACGCGGCCCGTTTTACATTTCTATGCCCTTGTTACCCGTGTATCCCAATGTTACCATGTCGCTTAATTTTTTTTCGCGTTGCAGGAATTATTTAAAAGTCATGCTCATGTCGTATTACATATGTGATCACACTTTTGTTTTATTTCGTATTGATTAAGAGCACAGCAGAAACTGTTTTGTACGTGCAGAACTGTATAATTTTAAGTTGGAAATTAAATGAGGAATTAAATAATCAAAAGATTAATTAAGAATAATACTATTGAATTTAAAAGCTCAATGTTTCAAATAACTATGGATATTGTAAAATATATAATACGAAATTATACTATATATTTATATAGTATATGCAGACTGCGCTCCGAATTTAATTTCCAGACTTAAAAGGCAATCTTAACAGAACTAGAGCAGTAATATCACAAATTAAATTGACAAGCAATTTGATAATGTTTACATAGACATTTTAAAAGATGTTAAAATATTATAATATGATGCTGATAAGCATTAAACCTGTAAATAATTTTATTGCGAAAAAATTACGTCGGCTGGAGATCAAACTCGGATATCTCTCTTTCTAAATTATAAAAAGTTTCAACAAACAAATAAATATTTAAAACTATCATAAATTATATTTATTTGGAATTTATATCTAAAGAAAATTAAGGAATTATTCAAAAATATCACGATTTATGCAAATCCATGTAATTCTTACTTTCGTTCTGACGTAATGCTCGCATACTTAGACGCTCTGCAGACATGATATTCGCATATTATAATAATAAATATACAATATTTGCGCGTATATATTATTACATGACTCATCTTATATATGCAATGTGTACATTGAGAGAAAAAAATGGTTGCATTTACTAAAATTAAATTTATAATCATTTTTTGGGATTACTATATTTGTAATTGACGTAATTGTTTTAACTATGCAAATATATATAGTTAATTGTAGCCATTATGTTTTAAAGTCTTTAGTCTTTTTGTTAATATATTTTTTTAGTTATTATTGTACCACATAAATAGTAAGTATAAATTTAGGAAAAAAGATATATTCGTGTAATTGTGATTGCATTTATTGAATCAAAATGTTAATTTTATTTATTATTTATATCTTAGTATTTTTTATTATACTATTATTTAAAATCATATAATTTACAGTATAACTTTTCGTGTTTGAAAGAACTATATGGTTTTTATTACTAACATTATAGCAGTAATAATCGTAAAAATAGAGTACCTATCCATGATTATTTTATTCAAGTAATTACAGTCACAAATATTAAGTATTTTTCTCTCAGTGTAATAACGATAAAAAATTAATAATATAATGGGAAAATTCATAGGAAAAGAAATAAAGAAAACGAAGATTTTGTTACGATTTTATTATATAATTCGTGATTAATCGATAATATTGATTTAACGATGTAATGTGCGATCACAAATTTACAAGCTTTAAAGGCGAATTGGTTTTACCATAGAGAGGGGATGCCTGACTTTATCTACGCGCACGTGTTACGGATTTATCTCTCTCAGTACACGGTTGCACACGTCCGTATGTGTTTCACGGTCCCTCTTGCAGGTTTATTTGTGGACACGGCCCTCTGGTTCGCAATTAATTCGACATGAACCCCTCAGCAACAGCTCTTCCTCTTTTCACGCTACTCACGCTGACATTAGGTAAATGTAAGAGTTTTATCTCTCTTATTTCCTTCTTTCATCAGAATTGCGAGTAAAAGATGAGAAAATAAAAAAATTTTTTAAATCACGTTTTTATATTTAAAGCATATTAAAAAGATCGGTTAAGCATGTTTTAAACAGTTTAAAATATATTTCAACATGATTTAAAACATGATTTTTGCCAATTCTGTCTTTCATTCAAGTTTTCATCCTTTACAAATCGAATCTTTTTTAAAAGAAAGGTATTACGAAACTATAAGTAACGATTTTTCACGCTATCGCGATGTCGTTGTTCTTGTCTTAAAAAACATATATATAATAACTTATTTAAAAAATTATCCATTTTGCATTTGTATTTTCTTAAAAAAACTATAATGTATTCTCTCTCTCTATTTTTCTCTCTTCCCCTCCATTTTTCAATCAATTGATTTATCTGTATCTCATTATTCTGTTTATAAAAGTTCGCGTATTAAGATACGATTATCAAAAAATTAATATTAGTTTATTATAGTTTACTATAGTTACTTATTTTTCAGTCAGTGTATACCAGAATAAAATATTGGTAAATTATCTCGTTTTTTGATATCATTACCTTATAATACTTTTATATACAAAATAATTAAAGGAATCATATTGTGTAAAAAAATTATACATTCCTTAAAAAAGTGAGGGTAATTCAGAAATTTCAAGAAATATGAGAAAACTTTTTTACTCATCATGTGTCTCTTTATCGAATCAAATAAGATCCCCTGTGGTATTTTTTCGTATCATAAAAAATAACGGAGATATATTTTAAATGATCAAGATACAGGAAATATCTTATTTATTAATAATTTTTGAACAAACGGTGACCGCCACCTAACACCTTCTGAAGGTCAGCATTTAGAATTATGACCTCAAAACATGTTAAGGTCATAGTCATCATCGAAGAGGTGTCCCCTAAAGTAAAAAGAAATACCGTAAAAATAAATTTAAAATCATGAATGACATTTATACATTTTGTATACAATCCGGATATTTTTTAAGTTTTGACTTCTGTGCATATCCAACTAACGCTAATTATTCTTGAAATATTTCTGAAAAGTTCCTAAAATTCCAAAAAACATTCTAGGAGTATTCCGAAAAATACTGTGAAATATTTACGAAATGTAAAAACACAGTTTAAATGTTGGTAAAAAAATTTTATTTGTATATCGTTACATATTCCGCAATATATCACAAAATTTTAATTTTTCCGAAATTCTAGATTGGGTTGTCTCTGAATCACTTTTTAAACAAAATTGTACTATGAACAATATATTTCATATGCTTCCTCCTTGGAGTCAAATTTTAGGACTCATTTCACAGACGAAGTATGCTGCGCTCCTTTTATTCTCTTCCAGGTGATTCTTGTATTTACAAGTAAATGCTCTCCGCCGTAATCCTCTGTGTTATGACACCTGCATACAGAACGCGGCAACGCAAGTGTTATCGCGTTCTGTCTACGAAAGCCTTCCCTACTGAAAAAAATCATATCACAATATTATATAACGAAATCATATTTAATTAAGACAAGTAAATCACATAACGTTTGTTCCAAATCAATACGTACACTTTTAAAATCATTTGAAAAATTACATGATATTAGAAATAATTTTATCTATATCATATAGTTATCAAATTTTAAATAAATCATAGAAATAGAACATATCATCGTGTAACTTTTCAAATTACGTGATTTAAAAAAATTAAGTACTGATTTGGAACAATCAGTTACGTGATTTACATATTTTAATTACATGATTTTATTATGTAACTGTGACGTGATTTTTTCAGTAGAGTTACCATTGAACTACACAACCCTGACACTAATAATTTCTCTGTTATGTCTATTTCCTCTAAATTTCTTAAGCCTAATTCTAGGCCCGAGAAATGTGTAGCCAATCAACTTACCGTTTTTCCGTAAAAGTTTATACATGTTGATTGTAATGAGCTGTACCGTATATATATTCCTGAATCCAAAAATTCGGAGTTCTAATAAGCGTGGATGCTACAGGGCCTTAACGCTGCAATCCAGATTTTTGCATAACGTATAACGTATAAGCGAATCAACCAATCAGAATTTTTCCTCTACGGAAGAGAAGCATTTTGATTGGCTGATTCTCTTATGCACTATGCATCATGTGTTATGCAAATGTCTGTATTGCGGTTTTTACGCATACAGCGCTTAGACTGTATAAACATATCAAATGCTTTAACTATTAAGTTAAAATAGAAGCCATTAATGCACAGAAAAGAGTACTAAGAATTCAGTATAGATACTACAATCTAGGAAATTCTCAACGCTACTAAAGCGCTTCCAAAACGTGTATTGATTTAATCGGAAATTTGGAATAACTTATTTCTATATGCAGTCTACGCGCTACATGCGTAACTCGGAACGCACCTCTAGATCCTTATTATAAGTGGACAATTTTTTGTTAAAGTTAAAACATTAAAGCTGGTATTTATAGTCGACTTTTATATTTCGGACTGTCTCAAATACAGATATCATGAATCACACAGCTACGTTAGCATCTTAAGATATTACTTAAGGTCTTAAAATAAGAACATCAGTTTAAGGGAGAGAGCTGTTCAATTAATTTAATATGGGTGTAAATGTAAAATAAAAATTTCGAATTATAAAAAATACACATGTATTTTACTTCATCTCTTCCTCTGTTTAGAGAAAAGTCCAACGCCGCTAGACAGGGAGGAGATGGGATGAATCTCGCTTCGAAATATTATAAAAGTCGTTATTAAATCATAAATTTGCTGCCTTATAAAAACAAATTCTCTGCTTTAAAAAAAGATTCTTGTTTTTAAAACAGTAAATTTGTTTTAGAACAGAGAGAATTTGTTGTGCTTTAAAAAATTATTAATTTTACTAAAACTATATTTTTCAAAATTAATTTTTTAAATATCTTTTTAATAAATGACAATCTACGGTTTAAACTTCCTCGAGGTTACTCAAGATCGCATGATCTTGATAACATATACAATGTCAAGATCAAGGTATTAAGAGAGGTTCTCCCCATTTTTATTTTTATTTAGAAATAAATAATTAAAAATGTAAATTTATCGATCTCTCCTAATTGATCATCACATTAGAGTTACAACAATAGTTTTTATAAAGATTGCAAGGAAAAAACATTAAAATTCGGATAAAGCCTTATTGTAAATAATTACCTAATATATTATGTAATACATGAAAGAAGTATACACTAAAATATATATATTTTCATACGTTTATATTTTATATATTACCTATAGTTATAGATTTATAATTAAAAATGTGTGCTGTAATCTGTGTAATGTTAAAATTAATTAATGTAATATTTCAATAAGTTAATTATTTCAAGAAATAAATATTTTCTAAAAGATTTCATGTTTTTTTTCCAATATATTTTTCCGCGATATATAAATCTAAGCAAGCAAAAGATAACATTTTCCTCACGTTGTAAGAATTTATTTAAAAGTTTTGCACATTACGTACGTAATCATGCTCTTGTTTTATTCTATAGTGATTAAAAAGATTTCATGATTTTTTTCCAACATATTTTTCCGCGATATATAAATCTAATAAGCAAGCAAAACTCATAAAGATAACATTTTCTTCACGTTGCAAGAATTTATTTAAAAGTTTTGCACATTACGTACGTAATCACGTTCTTGTTTTATTCCATAGTGATTAAAAAGAAAATATACAGCAACAACTATTTTGTATGTGATCGTATAAACATTATTAAACTGACAATTACATAAAGAATTAAATAATTGAGGAATTAATAAATAATAATATCGATATTGAATTTGAAAGTTGAATATCATTTCAATATCATGTCCAAGTTCAATATCAATGTTTTAAACAGCAGTAAATATTCTAAAAATCCATGTAATTTTATACGTAAATTACATGTTTATGACTTGAAAATTACCTAAATATGATTAGAAAATTAAAATTTCTAGTCATATTTAATTTTCCATTCATCACTATGTAATTTTCATATAAACTTTTTCAGTGCTGTATTATAAATATCGTTTTATAATACAAAATTTTAAATTGTAATATATTTATAAATCAATTTAATAATATTTAAATAAATATCAACCTAAGAGAAGCTTTAACATACGCAGATTAAAATGTTTTTAAAAAACGTACATCTCTACAAATTGTTGAATATCTATTCCGATCTAAGAATCTAATAAGAATCAAGAATTTTTTTTCAAGAATATCATTATCTCTTCGCAATTCTGAATAATTCTTACTTTTAGATGATTTGGCGAGATACTCGCTTACAATATTTCCGTGCGTATATTGTTACATAACTCTTCTTATGCAATATATAACAACAATATTAAAGCAATCGAAGAATATAGAGAAGAAAAACAGATGCATACAATTATAAAAATGCAATAATAAAAACAGTCCGCTATAATTGATAAAAGTAAATGAGAATTATGAGAATCGTAGCGGTAAAAACTAAAAAGTGTGTAATATACATGTTTTTACTGCGCAATATAATATATTTAGACGCAAACCCAATTAGCATACCATATTTAAGAAACATTTTTTAAATGTTTATTCAATGTTTTTACAACTATTTTACATTAAATAAATATTTAAAAAATATTTTTTAAATATGGTATGCTTATTGGGAATCGGTAGCTTATATAACTTTACAATTTCATTAAATATGCGATTCATTGATTCAGCAAGTGATTTAACAATACAATACGTAACAATATAATTGTTAACAAATTATGAGCTCCAAAGTGAATCGCTTAACAAAGAGGGGATATGTCTGACTTTATCTACGCGCACGTGTCACGAATCTCTCAGTACACGATTGCACACGTTCGTATGTGCTTCAATCTCTTTTGCAGGTTTATTTGCAGATTATTTAGCTTTTCTGGTTTGTGATTAATTCGACATGATCTCCTTAGTGACAGCTCTTCCTTTTTTCGCACTATTTACGCTGACGTTGGGTAAATCAATTTTCTTTCTGCATGTATCTCTTTCTATTTCCTTTCATTCAAATTCACCATATGTTATGCAGAACGTTTTTTAAACTAAAATACTGTAAAACTTCAAAATTTTGGCAATGACATATACTACAAAGTACGTAAAAAGAGTCAAATGTAATTTAATATCCATAAAATAAATTGCATAATGGTCTTTTCAGTATTAATTGCGATTTTTCAATTATGTTTCTATGATGCAGAAAGTGAATATTCGTTCTTTTTATCAAATTGTACATTTATTTGTGGAATATCTACTTCTTTAAAAAATTTACTACATACTAGAAGATAGTGATTAATTATTTTGACTATTAAAATTGAATAACTGCTTTTAATATTGAAAATTATTAATTTCAAAATGAATAACTTGAACTGAATAGAGTATTGAAAAATATAAAGGGTTTCATTTAATAAGGTGACCTTCGCTTGAACTTGGCGATATACGTATAACCGAAGATCAAACTGATAAAAATAATTAACTAGTTACTATTCAACACAAACGTAAAGTTGCATGTGTAACGTACCTGTTAGTTGAAATTTCCTTACAATAGTAATATAATTGTAATATAACACGTGTTGTAATGTTACATTATAGTTTATATATTGAGTGATAAATTACATCTAACAGTTACGTTACAAGAAACTTTATATTTGCCTGACTTTAACCTACTTTCCTGCAAAAAATAAAGATGGATGCAATTTTGTTAAAAGAAAAAATTAAATATACGTCAGCATAATCTGTCACACCGTATACTCCTTATATGTGGCAATTTAGAAATATCCTATATATAATAGAAATATTATTTTATATATTTTAGCAATACCTTTGTCCTCCAAGATTACGAATACGGAAAGGGACACACAATGCATGCAACATCACGAAACTAAGAAGAACACTTTGCGACTAGTCACAGTGGTATATATAATGTATATATTAGATATACAAAATTTTTTTTAACAGTATAATAATTTGTATGCTTCTTTAAGTTTTAAAATTTTACATTTTCAAAAATTAATGTTAAAAAGGATTAATTTCATATCAATAATCGTGAGAATAATACGTTATTAATTATTATACAAGGTGTCTCAATAACTATTGCCACTTCATAAATCTCATCTTTGAATCTATAACGTTCAGAGGAAAGTGAATCAAATTGCACGGTATTAGTAAGATGACTCTCATGGTGATAATAATTTTTTTCCATGCGGAGATGCTTCAAAGATTTCAAAATTAATATTTCAAAGTCAATTTCGTTTTTCTTAAATAAAACTATACAATCTTTTACATTATACAATATGCATTATATTATTACAGTACATAATATTCCTCTAACAGATTATATTTCTATTAATTATTCCGTATAAAAATATTAAAGTAAAGATATAAAAAAAACAATAATATTTACGAAATATTTTATACTTTATTCTAACACATATTAACACAAGATACTAAATAACTCCTATAAATAAATTATTAATTTTTTTATAATCGTACTCTAATATTTCTATGAACAGAAAGATGACATGAATTAATAATTTGTGTATGAAAAAAGCACATATAGTTGCTTAAAAAAAGTACTTAAACAAAATGGATAATTTTTAAATGAGCAATTATGAATTTTTTTTACTATACGATTTTTACGTTATATATGATAGCTTTCTTCCGTACTGTGCAACTTTGGGTACACAAATTTATTCTGAACACGAAGAGAAAAGATTTGTTATGGACAAGATAAGGATTACAAAATTTAATTGTCAAACTTTTTTGATATTTTTTTTTATATTTATAGCAAATAAAGGAAGATGTTAAAAAATCCGATTTTTTTGACAGCATCCCTCCCTCCCCAGCGCAATCTTAGTAAACCACAAAAATTGTTGTTTGGAATTCACATAAAATAACAAAAATGGTTTTATATCCCAGGGAAAGATTTTTTATTATTTTTTTCTATTTGACACTGTTTTGTACACGAATGTAATGAATATTGAAAATTATAGATTGAGGCTTCGGATACATTATTATTACATGTTTAACCTTTCACTAATAACAAATTAATTTGTTATAACTCTTGTAAAATATGCTGCAAAAGATATGATTTAGATCATCAGTTGCCTAAATCGTATATAAGTCTTTGAAATTGTATTTCCTTTAAAAGTATTGAATTTGTGATTGAAATTTGTAATTAAAAAAATGTAAAATTAATTTTATAAAATTATTAAATAATACCTAATAATTAATTCCTAATTTTAATTATTGATTGAAAAGAAAATCAAATATTTTGTAATAATTAAATAACAATAATAATGAAAAGACAAATGACATTCAAATAAATTGACTCAAATATATTGTTGCACTTGACATTTGTATTCATATCAATCATTATAGTTTTATTATTGTCAATTATTTTTGAATAGTACGATTTTTTTAAGGAAAACTTGATGAATTTGTTAAAAATATTAACTTCTGATCATAAAACCACTGGTACTATTTGAAAAATCATTTTATTTCCCCTCTTCATTTTTGTTTCAGACCATTTTGACGTATCTCTTACCTGTGTCGAACTATAATGGAAAATGTAAAAATGTAAAAATGATGAATTAGCTGGTTTATTCGTTTTTTAAGTGTTTTTTTGTATAGATTGGAACAAATTTTACATTTTACGATAAACCGCAAAAGTAATCACAAAACTTGATATTTTTGAATTCTATACTCTTTACTTATCTTAAATCAATTACCGTTCAAATTTTTAACATCTTTTAAATAATAATTTACAAGGATTTTCTTTTTTAAAAAAATTTTCGCACGATAGCCAAAAATATATATTTGCATCTATTCTGTGAACGTTATGAGTACTGTTAAACTGCTGTCACATGTTCAGTGCCTTATAAGGACTTTATATTATAAATAGCACGCAAATCTAATCTTAACCGTATTTATTTAAATTAAAAAGGTCTAATTTGGAACACGGTCCGATTTAGAACATTCTTTCCTCTATATATAATAATATACATATAATAAAAGTAAGATTCTACAATAAACTTCTTCTATAAAAATACAAAAGATTGTAGTAAAATTGGATGACTACGTTACAATATTTTGCGATTATTTTGATTACACCGTGTATATTATACTAGATTGTCAAAGGCCATGACATCCAAAAGAATTTAAGACAGTAAGGGCGACTGTCACCAACGCCGATTAACTTAATCGACGATTAGTCCATTGGAATTAACCAATCGCATTTATCATTTAGTTTTGACGATAGACGCGATTGGTCAATTCCAATGGACTAATCGTCGATTAAGTTAATGGGCGCGTTCAGCGGACTATAATAGCGAGCGCTCACCCAACTGTTGAGTCCGCTGAACGAGACCAATCGGCATTGGTGACAGTCGCCCTAAGACGTAAGCAGTAAGCGAATTGACCAATCACAGTAGAGGCCGTAAGGCCATAACAGATCCACAACGTTGATTTTCCTTACTGCTTACGTCTTACTGCCTTAAGTTTTTTGTGTGCTGCCATAGCCTTAAGTCTTATGGTGTATACCTATGAAATGCGGATTTTCCTAACAAGTGGCGCCACACATACGTTCTTAGGCTGGAGTCCCATGAGGCGTATTTGCCGCATATCGCGTAACCGCGTAACCAATCAAAAGTGATAAAACGCGAAATCACAACAGCAAGTAATTTTTTATCACTTCTGATTGGTTACGTAGTTACGCGATACGCGGCAAATACGCCTCATGGGACTCCAGCCTTAGGCTTAAAAATCTATTGTAGATTCGGGCTAACAGTAACTATAAGACATACCGTAAGAATCAGTCAATCACAGTCGAAAATTCTTTTGAATTCTTAATTCTAATTAGCTTATTCTTACGGTACGCATTATGGGTATTGTTACGGAAGGTGTGTGCGGCAGCCCTTAGTCCGGATCTACAATAGATATTTTAAGTCTTATGCCATAAGAAATTAATCAATTACAGTCGAATTCGAAAAAAATTATCGACTATGATTCGTCCATTTCTTATGGCTTAACACTTAAATAGTAAGACTTAAATCTATTAGACCCAGATTTACCGCGCCGCAAAATGTGACGCGGTAGCGCAATAAGCTTACAACTCCTTAACATGTTCATTGGTTACCTCGTCGCATTTTGCCACGTGGCAAACGTTTCCAGTGGAAACATTCCACGTGTGGGTCCTTTCCATTTGATGACACAAGTCGACACACGTATCGTTCTATCTTTCTTGACATTTAGAGATTGACAAAAATAGAACACTTGTGTCGACTTGTGTCATCAAATGGAAAGCACCCTGTGTAAAAGCCATAAAGGTGCCTATTCATAGACGCGGCAGCATAATGGTGTTAATAAAAGAGGATTGTATTTTAATAAAATATTTGAACTTTAATATTTGAATTGTTTGCTGTTTAGCGAGTTAGTTTAAAAAATTTCAGAGACAAATAAATATAATAATAGTTCATAAAACTTGCAATTTTCTGCTGTCGGAATATTCACATCAAATATTATCGGGCGAAGAGACACCCAGCAAACGAGAATGGATTAAAATGGATCGAACATTTTATCAATTTGAATGCGTATTTTAAACAGCAAAAACTTTTTTTGGATTCAATTGGATTCAATTAGGTTCAATTAGATGCAATTAGATTGAAAACCTGCGTTTTCTATTAAAAATTTTGAATTGAACAGAATTCACGATGCACTGAAAAAAAAACTGATATTATTTTTTGGATGAAGTATGACTAAAAATAGTTTTTCCCTCTGTGTTCGATTTTTTGTCCATAAATCGGGTTTGTAGTGCTTTCATGTGATCGATACTGTATATCTGAGTTGTGCTAGCGGAGCACAACTCAGCACAACCGTTAAATTCGCCGACACACCGATATTAAGGGTACTTTACTCTTGAGAGCGGCTCTTCGCCCGAGGCATTTTATTCAAAATTCGGGTTTATAATGCTTCCATGTGATCTATATTGTATATCTGAGTTGTGCTAGCGTAGCACAAATCGAGCACAACTCAGCACAATGTTTATTTTGCCGATTAAACAAAATGGCGGTGCTGGCGAAAAAAACGTTTTTTTCAATTTAACGCTTTGTTTTTTGAGTTATGTCATTACTTCTTGCGGCACAATGTAGCACAAATCTAGCACAATTCAGCACAAATTTTTTTTTTTTTAAACAAAATGGCGGTGTAAAGTCGTACCTCTTTAAGTGGGG